ATATATATATATATATATATATATATATATATATATATATGTATGTATATATATATATGTGTGTGTGTTTTATGTAGTTACTTCTACCTTTACTAGTGTACACTTACCTCCATCAACCACCGCTATCTCCTTCAACGCATTAGCCTGCACCCGAGTCTTCACCAAATCTAACGGATTACAAAGCAGCGAACTAAATCCCCCTGAAAAAGCCCCCGCGAGCATACGCTCCTTCACCCCTGCTTTCTTAGTTTTATCCACCTGTATGCACCTCAATACAGGCTCATAAAGACCCAATCGGAAGAAGTTTTTAGTACCTTCCTTCAGTAGTGCGGCGCTCAACCCAGCTTGTGTGCCTCGGACACCCTCAGTTTTCCAAGTCTGTTTCAGACAGTCGAATGTACCGCTATACTTGCCCTTACCCGGGCCCTTCTGCATTTGCAAGCGCACCTTAGCAACATCCAATGGATTGGAGAATAGTGTAGCGGTACATGCTGAAACAGAGGCAAAAACAAACCCAAACGCACCACCTGATCCATAGTTTTGGTCTATATGCGGTGGTTGTACAGGGGGGAGTGACGACCTAAGCCTTCTTATTGTGGCATTATACGGAGTCGTAAGAGTGCTTTCAGCTGCTTGTGCTCCTGTGATAGTGGAGGCACTGTCCTCACTACTCTTGAGCAGTGTAAGATCGCTCATGATAAATTATGACGTGATTTTCGATTGTGTTCATCCACTATATATGAAGATATATACAGGAATTTCCAAAGAAGTTCACTTACTATATATGATGTATTTTCCGGCGGTGTTAGTTCACTATGTATGATATGAATGTAGATACCAATGATGTACGTCGACCATGTATGGTGTTAATAGTTCCGAATAGGTTTCGAGAAATCGTTACACTCATAGCCGGTGAACACACGATGTGGCTAGTCGTCTTACTGAGTGGGTAGATGTCTCAGCGCATCCCTAGTTCATGCTCTATGTACTTGCAGGCAAGAACTTATGATAGCATCTATTTATCTCTTACTGGCTACAGGTGCCTACACAAGGTACATATAAGACATGCCAGTATAGTAGAAGAAGTTAGAAAAACCTACTCTCTTAATGATGGTCGATAAGTGTGCGGGTATAAGACCACAGTAATATATA